CAGGTAACCTTTTTCGACTCTCGGGAAGCACAGCCTCTAGGCCGAGGGGTCTGGCCAGGCAGTGCCAGGACGAGCACGACTCGCTCCGCGAGCGCTCTGGAGCGCTCGCGGAGCGTTCCGGCGGAGCGCTCTCCGGAGCGGCCGCGGCGCCCGGCGCCTCCTCCAGACCCGCCAGCCCTCAGAGACTCGCGCTCCGTCTTCCTCCGATCGGGGGTGGACAGAACTCCTACCCTGACACGCCGAGCAAGGAATTGGCCGTGCTCCGTCCGCGAGGGGGCGTCGCGGCCGTCATTTTTGCGGGTCCAGGTTGTTCGTCGGTTTCGGTCCCAGGCCGTTTTCACGAAGGGGAGGTTTACTAAAGGGAGGTTTGTCCACCGCCGATCCGAGCTGTCGTCATCCTGCCTTTCGTCCAGGGGGGTGCCAACCCGCTGCTCTCTCCTGGCAGCTCCAGCGGCTCGTGCGGCTTGGGCGTGGCTTAATGGGGGGGTCACAAATGGGGGGGTCAGAAAAGGTCCCCTTTCGTGCCCCTTTCGGGCCCCTCCAGAGCCCCAGGGGGCTCGTTTAGGTACCGTTTGGGTACCTTTTCGGACCACACTCGCCGCCCCCCCATTTATGACCCCCCCATTACGCAGAGCCCAAGCGGCCGCAGCTGCTGGCTGCGGCTACTGCACCGCCTGCTCCAGAGCCACGGCCTCGCGCAGCTGCTGCTCCGGTCGCCGTCGCCACGGGGCGACAGACTCTGGGCAGTCCGTGGATGCTGTGACAACCCGCTCCATCAGGTGTCCGACAGAAATAGGCGACCTCAATTTCTTGGGTCGTTCTGAGAGACGTGTGCCACTAATCACCCGCGTTGCTAGCACTATCGCACTTGTGGCATCAATCGCTGCAGCTATCAATAGAAGGATGACGCCATCGTAATACACGTCAGAGCTGCTATGAGTGAATCCTGCAGTGTAACATGGCTAGCTTCATGTTCGCGCAGCAGATTGGCGGACAGAGAGACACCTCGTGGTCTCGATCTGCTCTGCGCCAAACCCCACGGAACGGTTGGCATCTTCGGGACCATCATCTGATGAGAGAGAGGGCGACTCCGATTCCGACCCAGCCACGGCAGCTGCCGTGGACAGTTGTAAGGGAAGCGCCTCTGATTCTGGCTCTGCCGCGAGTCGCGACAAGGCCGCCATGGGCGGGAGTGTGCGCTCACGACGCTTGCTGGGAAGCGTCGGCGGCTAGTCTCGCCTTCATCGGTTCAGCTCATCGCGGGTTAAGAACTGACGACCATGCACGCTGAACAACTCTACAGTGTCTCTGGAGAAGCTCGACTTTGATAATGAACCATGTCGTTCTTTAAAAAGGGATTGCTCCATGACAACACCGCTGGAGCATGTGTGAAATGGTTTGGCATTCGCGATGTCTCCGCGCTTCCGAGAGCCGCAGAATCAGTGTACTCATGAATTTCCCAAGGTTCCCCCGGGTTTCTTGGGTCAGCGCTGGACCCCCGTCTCCCCCTTCCTCCTTCATTCCTCCCTCCTCTTTTCCCCTCAGCCCTCGATCCTCCACCCACCGTCCTTCCCCTTCGGACCTCCCGCATTCTGCCCCATGTAGACACTGTCCAGCACTTACTTGAAAGGATTTTTCCTGGATCAAGCGGTTCCAGGCTTCTCCCGGATCACATTGCGGGGCCCCGAACCAGGTCTTACCCTGACCAGGTCTATCTTGGATAACCTGGGGGGCCAAGCGAAGCAGGTCCATGGTCCCTCTCAGGGGAAACGATAGATGGGGCCGAGGAGTTTTCGGACGTCCTCGACGGTTTTCGGGGCGCGGGGCGGTTTCCGTCAGCTCCGCCTCGTCGAGAGCGTTCTGGGTGCCGGAATCGTCCCGAGCGGCCGCGGAAGGCTAGAGTTATGGCCCGAAGGCCAGGAGGCGGAAGGTCACAGGCTATGTTGGGGGGGGGACGGGCTGAGGGGGGAAGTTTCGTCGCCGATGGGGGCTCGATGTGTCCCACCCCGCCCAGGAGACCGTGCGGTTTCGCCATCGGGGGCTCATCGCCGACCTATGAGCAGTGTGCCGCCGCTCCGAGCTCGATGTTTCCCCCCTGCACTGGTCCCCCTCTATCGTTGTGGAGGACGATCAATGGAGAGGAAGCGTGTCGCCAAAGAATTTCCAGATGTCTGAAACATGTGTGAAACATGTTTTCAACATGTACAGGAACATGTTTAGAACATTTTCCGACATATTAAACACATTATAAATTCAAGGATCGGACTGTTAGGGTGTCCATTGTCGTGGCATCCACAACTCTGTCGTCCCCCCCCCAGGATCCTCGACCTCTCTCGGGCCGGCTCTTCGCCCCGAGTCGTGTCTTCTTCGAGGGCCCCCAGAGGCCCGGGGCACGGCCCTCGGAGGCCGAGCACGCAGAAGCACCGGCCGCCGCGTTTTTTTTTTTTTTTTTTTTTTTTTTTGCGACGCCCGGAGAGAAGGGCAGCAGAGGGGTTCGGGA